AAGGTCGCGGGTTCGATTCTCGATGAGGTCGTTGGATTTTTTCATTTGATCTCATCCTTCCAGACGCACTGTAACCCTAGCGTCGACTAAGTCTCTAACAGAAATGAGTACCAGGAATCTTCCTGGGGGGTAGAGGGCGGCCGATGCGTAAGGCTGACAACCTCACCGCCAGCTATGAACCAATTGTCTAGAAAATAAGGGAGCCTCGACGTCTCACAACCCTATGGGCCTTCACGGTCTGTTAGAGATAGCTTAACCCTTTTTTACGGCAAGGCTGAGCAAGGCGTCGATCGTGGTCTCCCGGTGAACCGCAAACTAATTTTGTGTGAACCACAGTGCGTGGGAAAATACTAATATTTTTGTCGGGCCGCTCCATACCTCAAGCGGTTAGTATCTGGCTTCCCACCGCGGCGTCCCGGGTTTGATCCCGGGTCTGGTCACGTGGGATTTGTGGTGGACATTGTGGCGCTGGGGCAGGTTTTCTCCGAGTACTTCGGTTTCCCCTGCCAATCTTCATTCCACCAATTGCTCCACAATCACCCTCACCTATCATCTGGGGCTGGTACAATAGGCCAGAAGTGGCCGCAGTACAAGGGACTTAGTCCCACCCCACTAGCAATACAAAAAATATTTTTGTTACTTATAATTTAAGGATTTTCTACAATATTATGAACGATGATAAGTATTGTTATCCCAGAAAAATGGTATACCACTTAACATCCTTCCTCGCTCCGTAGCTCAAGCGGTTAGTCGCTGGCTTCCAACCGCGGCGGCCCGGGTTTGATCTCGGATCTGGTCAAGTGGGATTTATGGTTGACAACGTGGCCCTGGGGCGGGTTTTCTCCGAGTACTTCAGTTTCCCCTGCCAATCTTCATTCCACCAAATTCTCCATCATCATAATCACGCGGGGCAGGTACAATAGGTCAGTCAGTGGCCGCCGTGCCGAGTGGACCCAGCTGGACTACACCCCCCACTGAACGAAAAAAAAAAGAAAGAACAACATACTTCCTAGTTCTGTGTACCAATGTGAAACTGCCTTTTCGACTGTGGAAATCATCAGGCGAAAATATCGCTCTTTCCTCACAGGAGATCATTTGATCGCGCGTTTAAGTGCAGCAGTTAGCAATTACACATCGGAAATCTACAAAATTAATGGACTCGATACTTTGTAAGTTTTCGTAGTTTTATTAATTAGACGCATGTTTCCAGGTTTATTGGGATAGAGCCATTTTTTACCACGTTTGTATTATCAGATTTCCACGTTAGTGTCAATTGGTGTACATTCTGAAATAAAACGAACATTCGAGCTTCAAGTTCCACTTAACCTATGAAATCTTTGTTTCCTATGTTCCTGTTACGTGTTGTATAAGTACGAGTGTACCCTTTAAAGTTCGATGAGTTCGTTCTGTCGGTGAGAGTGTTGCTGGTCCTCGCCAGCAGAGTCATTCCTAGCTTTAGACCTCATCGAGATCCAAGACCAAGTTTTTTGTTCTCTCCTAGACATGTACGTGTTTAGAAATAAGGCCTATACTTCGACGAGGGGAGAGGTCGGTCTTTCTATGCATGCGCTAGGTTTATTGCACCGTGGCTTCAGCAGGAATACTTCCGCGCTCTCACGGTGTCCAGGTCATTATGGACTCATATACACAAATTCAGTCCGTGCCTCACAGGAAACACATTACATCTCCGCTACAAAGACCAATCGGTTAGTGCTGTTTAGGAAAGCAATAGCCATTTACTGTGAGAACCGTAGGAAACACAGAAATACACTCTGTGGACATAATTCAGAGTTTTAGAACGTTAAGGCGGATGTTGTATGTAACAACCATTGGGTTTTAAAAGGTTAAACAATCGGCCCGTAGAGAACTGGACAATTTCGAAGTTTCACTTGCCACGCTAAAATCTGTTCATCCCTTTCCTACAGTATGCATTTGTTAACGGCAGTATTTCGCATCGCAGTAACAAGGCGTAGTATAATTCAAACTGAAGTTGTCTTTTGTACATACGTGTAATCACCGTCTTAAATGCAGCACTAACTGTCGTCTTTTTGTATGTTTTGTTACAAGATTCGGCCTCACTTCGCCATCATCACTTGCTGAAACTGCGGCACTGGCATATGTGAACGCGTTGTTATTTTTAATTTTAAAATCTTTGAAAGTTTATAAAATTGCTGGTTCAGCAGCTGTGAACCTGGTTTTCAGGTGCGGGTGTTATATTTTTGTGGCGGTGATATGTGGATATCATCATCTTGCAGAGTTGGTCTGTTGTGTGTGTGTATATACGTTATAATAATCTAACTGACTTCGTGGCCTGTAGTCCGCAAGCGAACTATATCCACCGAGCGACCGCCGTTTGTAGGCGAAGTTAGTGCAAACTTTTGCGTATAGGTGTCACGTGGTCAGCGCAACGGATCCTCACGGACGTTAATTTCGGTTTTCTAGACCGAAGCCCTATTTCCTTGATATAGTTCCTCAATTATCCTCACGAGGCTGAGTAGACCCCCGTTCCCAACCCACTATTTCTCAGAAAATTTGGTAGCGCTGGGAGTCGAACCCGGGACCTCTGGATCTGTAGGCAGGAACTCTGACCACTAGACCACAGAGGCGATCATAATAATCTGATAAGACATAAGTTCCGTTTGAGACGATGGTTATACGTATGTACAAAAGGCAACAGTTCGCTGAAGTACAACATTCAGACTGAAGGTTGTGAAGAAGTAAAAACGTGTCAGCATATCATGTTTACACTCATATATGCCGTAGCAGTGGGTACATTATCTTTTTTTTTTATTGCTAGTGGGGTGGGACTAAGTCCCTTGAACTTCGGCCACTTCTGGCCTATTGTACCAGCCCCAGATGATAGGTGGGGTGATTGTGGAGCAATTGGTGGAATGAAGATTGGCAGAGGAAACCGAAGTACTCGGAGAAAACCGTCCCAGTGCCACTTTGTCCACCCCAAATCCCACTTGACCAGACCCGGGATCGAACCCGGGACGCCGCGATGGGACGCCAGCGACTAACCGCTTCAGCTATGGCGCGGCCCATTACCTTATCTTAGTGTCCACGAATTCTGCGTGTATATAGCGTCCTACATATTCTGAGTCGCCTGAGTGATTCCATGAAGTACCTGCTTTAAGCATGCAATCTACGTTTTCTGTCTTTCCTTCCGTTAAACAAATCAGCCTGCCATTCGTGAGAGAACGAAGGATTCAGTGACTTACGTATTAACGATATTACATACTTTAACGGTTACCTGCGATGCAGTCCCGATTGCTGCGCCGTCTAAGGTGCACAGCTTTAGGTTGATGTTTTATTTTGGAATCCTGGATCCATCATGGAAATTCGTCTGGGTTCCGCTTTGCCATGGTCTGATATGTTCAGTACAAGGAGATTTATATCTTAACGATTAACACCTCTAGAATAGAGTATTATTATTATTATTATTATTATTATTATTATTATTATTATTAGTGGAGGAACAGGAATATCGTAGTCGGTATAGCGACTGGCTACGACCGATGGGTCGGAGTTCGAGTCCCGGTAAGGTCAAAATTTTTATCTTTTCCACGTCGTCCACAGCGGCTCTGGGGCCCACTTACTCTCCTATCCAATGGGTACTTGGGGCTCTTTCTCCGGGGGTAAAGCGGCGGGGGGTGAAGCTGACCACTCACATCCAACTGGTGCAGAGGTTAAGAAAATGTGGATCAATACATCCACTTCTCCATACGCCTATATGGCATAGTGCTTAATTAGTTAAGTACAGGGACAGCTTTTTCTTAGTGGGGTGGTAATGAGTCCACTTGGTACTAGGTTCACTATTGGCCTATTGTACCAGCACCAGATGATATATGATCATGACTGTAGAGCAACAGGTGGAATGAAGATTGGCAGGGTAAACCGAAGTACTAGGAGAAAACCGGCCCCAATGCCACTTTGTCTAACATAAATTCCACATGACGAGACCCGGGCTCGAACCCTGGCCGCAGTGGTGGGAAGCCAGCTGAGCTATGGCGCTGCATCAGAATAGAGCAGGCTCTGACCCCAATCACCTACGTGGTCATGTCTCTCCCTCTGTCCAGCGTCAGAAAAATGCCGTGTAAGAAGACTTGGTCGTCTGTACGGGGGTCCTCATACGTCTCTCAGTGTGTTTTTATTACTCTCAGTGTGTGGAGCGAAATGGAAGAATTAATTAGCAGAGCCGTTAGGAAATTATGCTTGCTTGCATTAATCGTCTGATATCTCTCGATATATTTGTCCTAGACAATTCAGGTGGCATTACATTCACGAATAAGACAATGAAGACGTTACAAATTTGGCTTCAAATGGTTTTGCTTAGAACTTAGATGTTTGCAAGAAGTGTTTGTCCTAGCTCAATTTATTTCAGACATAATATTGCTTATTCACATCCGCAAGGAAACATTTTAAACGAAGAAATGTGAAAAATCAAAGGAGGGAGAAAGATTGAGTGCCAAATGAAGACTCTAGTGAAAGACCAGTTTACGACATATATTTATATATATGTGTGTGTGTGTGTGTGTGTGTGGGCCGGTCACGGTAGGCGAGCGGTCTATGGCATGTACTGTCTTCGTTCGCTCGGAAGCCGGGATCATGGGTTCGAATCCCACACAACTCATGGATATTTGATATATGTTTATTCTGTGTTTGTGTTCTGTGCTTATGTAGCGGCCTTTCGACGAACTGATCATTCGTCCAAGGAGTTATACCATCTGTAAAATGATCATGAAACTGAAAAATCAGAGGCCAGGGTCCAAAGGAACTGTAGAGCCAGTGAAAAAGAAAACATATGTGTGTGTATGTATATATTTGAATCTAAAGGGATTTAGTTAGGTGAATGTTTAGAAATGAAGAGCGAAGGAAAGTATCTTCTATGTGGGATCGACATATCACAAGGCCTCCAAATACAGGGCACAGCACAATATAATAAAACACACAGAACACTGGTCCATATACCAAGCGGGATTGAAATCCTTGACCACTCTGTCGAGATATTTAAGTAGTTACTATAGGATTCTGACGATGGTGTATAACACACTGATATGTTGGGTTTTTGGACTTTATCCAGGACGATGGATAAAGTCCAAAAACCCAACATATCAATGAGATATTTAAGGTCTAAGTACTTTGGGAATTGTGCTGAACACCTTCAAATTATTTACTTGCGATCTAGAATCCGTGAACCCTTACCTGAAGTAGGATACAGCAGCGAAGGTGAATGTCCCACCTGGTACTGAGTGCCACTGACCCTGTTCAAGGCATCCACAGCCTTCCTCCCCATACTCATGAGATCGTCATAGTCCCCAGTTTTCTTGTTGGTATACCCCCAAGGTATGAGCCACATCTGGGAGTATGCGTGCATGGTAAGGTACAGTTTTATCCTGTCCTTCCTGTCCATTATGAAGTCCGAAATGGCTCTTGTCTCCGGCTCAGAAAACGGCCTTGGTCCTGCGTAAGTTTCTTGGCAGGGATCATCCGAAGCCCCTACTTCTCCCCAGTGAAAGTTCCAGTTTCTATTCATGTCGACCCCCCGACATGTCTCTCCCCAGAAGAAACTTGATAATGTCCTGGATTGTTTTTCATCTTCGATCTCGTGATTTGAGCGTGTCTTTCTCCAGAAACGATCTGTGCTGTGAGAGTATTCGTAGCCATCAGGGTTGGACACTGGGAGGATGTACCAGTCGGCTCCTTCAACTATTTTACGATTGATTTTGAAATTTTCAACCAGCTGTTTCAATGTGTACATGACAACAGCCGGTGAAATCCATTCTCTGGCGTGCGTTCCTGAAACAGCAAGAGTTTCTTATGATAGGTGGGTAGAAATAAATCAACAAATAATTTTACAATCGTCTAGGATGTGAAGCTGTGTAGTATGATAGTTTCGGAGGCACCTGTTGCCTTAATATTTAAGGTACAAGACCGTGAAGCAGGTTGCTCTGAAACTTTGATACGTTCCTGAAAATTTTTGCCGCGCCATAGCTCAAGCGGTTAGTCCCTGGCTTCCCATTGCGGCGGCCCGGGTTCGGTCCCCGGTCTGGTCAAGTGTGATTTGTGGTGGACAAAGTGGCGCTGGGGCAGGTTTTCTCCGAGTACTTCGGTTTCCCCTGCCAATCTTCATTCCACCAATTGCTCCACGATCACCCTCACCTATCACCTGGGGCTGGTACAATAGGCCAGAAGTGGCCGCAGTACAAGGGACTTAGTCCCACCCCACTAGCAACAAAAAAACCTTAAAATTTACACGAAGCCACATCGCGGAACGCAGTAATCTTGTGAACACGGTAATGAACCTTCGAGTTACACAAAAAGTTTGGAAATTCCTGGCTGGCTGAGCGATTGTTGGATTTTCAAAATGGGCTTAACTCCATATGTTATTTATATTATTTATATATAATCTCGCATATCTATAAATCAGTCATGCTCATTCGGCTATCTAGTCTGTGGATTAAGCAGGTAGGCGGGTTTGCTACTTATATTACAGAATTGTGATGTGTTGAACTCACCCCCATCTATCCAAACCGCCGGTTTGATCTCGCCTTTCTTAGTTCGCTGTCCAGTTGATACCTTGACGACTTTTAGTGGCTGCCCCAGGCTGGACTTGCCTATGGTTATCATCTCCACCAGTTCCGGATATTTGATACTGAGATATTCCAAGTAGTGTAGCATGTCTGTAATTATCACAGTACGATGAACTTCACACTGTCTGTTATTAGCAGGGCTCAAACCCCCACTCATCTGCTCGTCTGTGACGAGTAGAATCAAGGACGACAAATGGAAGAATCTTTAATGTATTCCTAACCTTTTCCCCTCCCACTTTACTACTTTTCCGCAGCTGTCGAACCATATATTTGAATAGTAAATGGTACCTTATGTACATATTATAAGGGACAGTATTTTGCATGTCTTGAATAGTATGCGAAGGTAATTACTTTGGTGTGGAACAATTGTTGCTGTGTGACTAAAGAAGAACAAATGTTCGGCGAATAAAAGTCACACATGACCAGTGATGTGGAGTAAGCATTTGTTAACCCTGTATTACTGGGGGTGAATAAATTGAGAGGGGTCAAGGAAAATTCTCTAACAGATATGATGGAATTACACTTACCTGAGTATCTGTGGTACCTTTTGAAGGTCATCTCGTGTCCCTTGCTATTCCGCAATTCGATTCGTTTTTCTCGTGACATCTTCGGGTTTTGCAAAGCAATTGCCTTCTGAAACAGACATATAATTCCCTATTATGAAAAAACCCTTGTAATATAAGTTAATCTTGATTTGAAAATCTCCTTCAGTTTGTCTTGTATCTCTCGACATATTCGTACTCTTTTTCCATTCATGTTAATGTAAGTGTGCATGACCTGTGGATATTTTGAAGTGTCAGTATCACAGTTGGATGTGTCTTCATTACTAGAGGAAAGTCTGGTTATTGTTGTGTTCGTAATGGTGTAAGACTTAAAGGACTAAGATTATTTAAATGGTATGTGATAAGTGAAGAGATTTATTAGACAGTATACAGAGTGTCCCAGGAGGAATGGACCAAACTTCGGGAGGGTGTTCCTTATGTTAAAGTATGCCGATATAACCCAAAACACCTATGTCCAAAGTTGAACGGTTACGGAGATAATGGCCCAAGAAAAGTGTGGTCTTCTGGCAGGTCCACGCACTGTACCTCTCAGCTGAGAGGCCTTATCTGTGTTTGTCCTTGAGTGCCGTGATTCAGCCTAGACGTACGTATGTAGTTGGCTTTATCAGAACGCGCAGTCAGCCACGTTACGTCAGCGCTTGCCATTCATGTGTCATGCATAGTGCTTGGAAGCCTAAGGACAATTATGACATGGCGAGAGAGTATTTTGTACTTGAATTTTATGGCTTGATGTCACTCACAAGTTAGTTTGATGTTACGTACATTATTAACATTACAGAATCCACATATTCCTGCCAGTTTTAATATGTATTTTGTAATCAACAAGTGTGCAACGCCGGTCAAAGTTTGACACTTCTCTGGCCATTATCTCCGTAACCGTTCAACTTTGGACATAGGTGTTTTGGGTTATATCGGCATACTTTAACATAAGGAACACCCTCCCGAAGTTTGGTCCATTCCTCCTGGGACATTCTGTATATTATGACGTATTCGCGCTGTGCGGGAACCCCCCCTCCCCCGCCGGCGGACGTGGCAGCGCTGGTCAACTCTCCACCCACCTCCCGCCCGCGGTGACGTAACAGACCAATAACAATTAACCAGCCAGTTACAGTCTAGCACTCTTCGGAGTTAATGGAAACAAGAGAAGTAATTGTGATACTGCCGAGGGCAGTAATTGTGAAATTGTAAGAGCGAATGTGCAATAAATTCGCTAAATCAAATACAACGTGAAGTTACTTGTCGCGCGTTATACACCCAACACGTGGCAATAAGTTCCAGATATTTTCCTTTTTGTATACTTCTTGATATTCATTCATTGCACAGCGGCCTCCGTAGTCTAGGGGTAACGTTCCCACCTCGTGACTCGCAGTACGCGGGTTCAAACCCGGCGGAGATCGTGGAATTTTTAAGGGCGGAAAAATTCAGGGAACAAGTCCTCCGGGAAGGACTTTAAGCCGTGGGTCCCGTGTCGTAGCTTTACGGCGCGTAAAAGAACCTCATGTCTCCAAAGGAGGCCACTGAGCAAAATTCAGGATATTTCCCCCCCAACAGTAGTCTCTAACGCCTCTGATAGATGGGGGAAGCATTATAGATACCGCCAAGACAGTAGAGGCCGAATTCGCTGGCTCGGTCGGGACTGATGGTAGGCACCAGAATCGGTAGGGCATAGAGACTGGTAGAATATCATAGAGGGAAGCACAATGGATCAATACTGGTCTAAGTGCATGGGGAAACCCACCCTCTCCAATAACTAATTAACTTCATTCATTGCAGACAGAAATATATTTCCAATATAGTAAATTTATCATTGCAAATCTAAGAACATTACAAAACAATGCATTACAGTAAAAAACTAGATATAAATGATGAAATAAAATGGCATTAATGTACAAATTCAGACTCATTTAGATGCTACTGCAGACTTAAATTAAGAAAGAAATATTCACGGCCTTTTTAAAATTATACATCATTACGGAATGAAATAAGTGAAACCGGATAATACTGTTGGTTCTGTGTCCATGACACAAATCACGAGCGCTTTCCCTCTCAGGCATTGCCTACCAGTACCAATACCGACACATAGCTAGTTCACAGGCCTCCCTTCAGATGTGCGCATTTATCATGCATTCTGATGTGTGTGCCCTTATTCTCCTGAAGATGACGCATGTGAAGTTTTATTTACGAAGATGGTCTCCATATATTACTAAGATTTAATCAAAATCGTTTAAGGCTTTTTAGAGGAAATTATTATTTTGTTTTCTTATGGGAGGCGGCGAATTTCAAGGGCCACTGTTTTTGACGCTAGAATGTTCATACTCACCGGGTGCCGACCTATGATGGAAAAGCTCTTAAATAAGCAATAAAAATGAAATCTGTGCAACGTTTAGGCGCTAGCGAGGCGTACGTGCATCCACCCACCATTGATACATATAGTACTGTGACACTGTAGTCATACCGTTGTAGCCGCCGTAGGCTACATAGCCCGGCTGGAAGAGTGAGGTCATTTGAAAAAGAAAACATTGACCTCATCGGGAATTAAACCCGCGACCTTACGGCTTGTAGCATATTGTCTCAACCAACTAAGCCACCTGTTGATTTGTTGCTGTTTTCCACAGATGCTAGAAGACTCGTCACATTTTCGAGAATTAACTGTCTCTACATTGCGACTTTGACCTACATTTTGGTAAAGATATTTATTTCTAGACCAGCTTCACTATTAATATCTCATGTGTACCTTTCACGATCTTCGTGTTTTCTTTTGCACTGTGAATAAATGTCAACTGTACTTAATTAACTCTACCCTTATTTATAGACCAACCACATTAATAGCGTCTAATACTATTCATGTTTTTCATGAAGTTAATGCTTTCGCTCAATATTATTTTTTATTGCTATTGGGGTGGGACTGGGGCACGCGGTAGCGTAGTGGTTGAGGTGCTACGCTACAAGTGGGAAGGTCGCGGGTTCATATCCCGATGAGTTCATTGGATTTTTTTCAGTTGACCTAATCCTTCCAGCCACACTAGGCCTGGGGTTCACTCAGCCTCTAACAGAAATGAGTACCAGGAATTAATTAAATAATTTTCCTGGGGAGTAAAGCGCGGCCGGCACGTAAGGCTGACAACCTTACCGCCATCTTTGAGCCGACTGTCTAGATAATGTGGGACCCTCAACGTCTCACAACCCTATGGTCCTTCACGGCCTGGTACAGGGATAGCTTTGTTTTTACTTTTTTTACTTTTTATTGGGGTGGGACTAAGGCCCTTGTACTGCGGCCACTTCTGGCCTATTGTACCAGCCCCAGATGATAGGTGAGGGTGATTGTGGAGCAGTTGGTGGAATGAAGATTGGCAGGGGAAACCGAATTACTCGGAGAAAACCTGCCCCAGCGCCACTTTGTCCACCACAAATCCCACTTGACCAGACCCGGGATTGAACCCGGGCCGCCGCGGTGAGAAGCCAGCGACTAACCGCTTGAGCTATGGCGCGGCCTCTTTCGCTCAATAAATATGGATTATCATCACGGACAGGAACATGGAAAGTAAGTCTGAGTAGGAGCAGGCTAAGGGACTTAGTTCTCGCAAGAATGAGAGAAGAGTTAGAGTATTAAAATTAAGTTATAGTCATTCCAATATAACAGTTCTTACCAGACGCTGACTTGAGTCATCAATGTCACAGTTCTCTACAGCTCTGACCCTCTACGCTGTTAAACATGCGTTTCTGTGAGAAGATTGGTGATGGATTACAATGTCCCGTAGCGAGAAAGTAGTCAGAGACAACGCACCATGTTTTATCTACTTAAATCAGTACGCCGTAATGTAATTAGTTGAGATACTATGCTACTAGCCGGAAGGTCGCGGTTTCGATTGCCGTTGAGGTAATTGGATTTTTCAATTGGCCTAATCCTTCCAGCCGCACTATGAACCTGGGATCTACTCTAAAAGAAATGGGTATCAGGAATCATGGAGGTAAAAGGTGGCCGGCGCTTGAGTCTCACAACCTGACCGCCATCTGTGAGCCGATTGTCTAGAAAATATGGGAGCCTCAACGTCCCGTTACCCTATGGGCCTCCATGGCCTATTACAGGGATAGCTTTACCTTTACTATCAAGTGTTCAGTTTTATAACTACAGGAATCCATCGACAAACGTAGAGGTCACATAACTGAAGATCAGTGACGCTCGAAAAACTGCGGTTGGCAAGGCCAGGAGCTTGTTAGAAATTGGGGGTTAAGCGAACCGTGAGCGCCGTTGACACTCATAAAAGTCTAAAAAGTTGAGTATACCTTTACTAAACAAAAAAATGCATCGATAACATTTTTAAAATAAATGAGGCAGAATATGAGAAGTGTTACATAAAGACGTATCGCAATATGGGAGCTAGGAAATAGGTCTTGCGTGCTGGTACAAACCCGCCTCCAGCAATGTAGTTTCCTACAGCCCTGTTTCCGGCAGGTTCGGAAGCCATCGGTTTTATCAATGTGGATACAGATTTAAAATTGCGAATTTGGAAATTTGGATATAAATGGGAGATCGTAGAACGTACGACGTAGATACTTGAATTTGCTGTTGGCGAAACTGTGGTTGCAGAGGGAGTTCTATACTATGTGACTGCTGAATTCCACAGAGAACGCCGCTTGAAACATCTCTTCTATTGTTGCGTGATGCACAGCGTACGTGACGCGATCATCTGCTGCGTATGTACAGGTGATTACCTAGCAACGTTTTCTCTGCCTCCATAGGCTTTGTCTCTCTCTGTGTATCCCTCTCCAGTTTCTTAGGCTTAGGGAGCTTATGATTTAACCTTGCTCTGTGTATTTTCTCGCTCAAATTTTTATCGTTTTTATATGCGGTCCGTGTGGCACTAAATGAAAATAGCGATTAGTTATTCCAAGAACTTCTTGTTCTTATATAGGAACTTAATTCCCTTTTGTATTCTGAGTATCTGGGCTGTATCATGGGTTAGTTTTGCTGTAGCTGTGATAGGCTTACTTTAATATTTGCGTATTTAGTTACTTTTTGAGTTATTTAGTATTGAAATAAATATTGGCGTCAGATACTCATAATTTAAG